AGGGAAAGAGTAGTTTTTCCTGCAGCCAGACATGCTTGAGCTAGTTGCAAGGAGAAATTACCTCACATGGTCTGCTGAAGCTCTACTCATGTCTGTACTGGGAGGATTTGGGCAGCAATCTCAACTCTTGTTAAGAGACATGGCGCTTATCTACCTCGCAAGAATTCTAAGATGACTGGACAGCACCTGTGAGGTGCCCTGAGCTTTCAGAAGGACAAGATAGGAATGGAAAGTCTTTTGGAAGGATGCTTTAAGTATCAACAGTTCCTAAGGATTGGAAACTCTTCATGTGGCCAAAGCTCTGAGTTCCAAGCTGTTTATTTTTGGCAAAACCCTTTTTTGAGAACTTGGTTAGAAAGTTCTGAATGTGCTTTAAGTATTACCTAGCTTCGGACAGGCAATTCCAACACAGAACAGTCTGAAAAAGAGAAAGGAACATTTAGCGAAATGTGCTCAGAGCACCCCTAATTGTGAGCTCTGGAAACACACCTACAGGCTTGGAGGAGGTGAGACCTGGGTCTGAAGATCACTGCCTACAGACCACTTCCTTCCAGGAGGTCTCCCTCAGGTTGGCCTGACTGTGCTGAGCCACACCCATCATCAGTCTCAAAAGCCCTCAGGTCACACCGGGTCCTGTTTGTTTGAGATTATTGTGTGCTGAAGCAGTTCCAAAGTGGCCTCTGGTCTCTCCTGGTCAGCATTTGGGTGTCAAGTCCAAGGCCAGCTGTTCACATATCAAAGTCAAAGGCAGTGAAGTCAGACCTGGGTCAGACCTGCCTCCCCGCTCTCCCAGGGCCCAGGAGAATGGTGGGAGAAATAAAACAAATGCCTCATGAACACCAAACTCCCTGCGCATGCCTTTGTTATAAATGAACAAGGGACAGTGAAATCTTTAATCATAAGAGAGGAGAGATGTTGTTGGCAGAGCTACCAGCGTTCCGAGTGAGTTTCCATTTCTAGGGAGGCCGGGCCATGCACAGGGCTGTACACACAGGCTGTTTACAATGCTCAGGCCCCCTGCACACCCTGGCTCCTTACGCTGTAATAAAATGCACCACAGCAGCCAGCAGGGCGGGTCACCCTGGGAAGAGAACTGATGTTATCTATGCAGCATCTCTGCCTCACCTTCTGCCTGGAAAGAAGGAATGTTCCAGAGGAAAAGTGTAGTTGGAAGGAGATGTTTCATGGGAGGAAATGGATGGATTGTTTCAGGTTGCAGGGACAGAAACTGAGAAAGCAGGGCAGGCAGGAGAGGACTGCTTTTGTTAAATATCAGTTAAATATCCATCTGCTTTTCTGAACAATTATTTTCTTGCCTTGTTTGCACACTGTCTCTGACAATCTAGAACTGGCATTGGTTAGTTCAAAACCAAAGGGACAGAGAAGCCAGAGTGACTAAAGAGGGAAAATCTTGTGGCAGCTCCAAAATGACCTGGGCCCTCCAGATCGGAGTGGGGAGCAACTCCTTGGGTGTCCCTAGGGTCCTCTCTGAAACAGCCAAGAGCCTGGTTCTTCAAATCAGCGACTACGGTTCTAACTTGCTCTTGTTTTGATTCCTCAGATATCCTCATTCCTCTGCCACTTTTCTGGTTTCATCCAAGAAGGCTATGAATTTGCCAATTTTGTTCCAAGTTCCAGATGTCTTATCTAAGGTACTCAATTTTTTGTTTTTTAATTAAAAAGAAACCTGGGACTTTCCTGGTGGTCCAGTGGTTGGGAATCCGCCTTCCAATGCAGGGGACGTGGGTTCGAGCCCTGGTCGGGGAACTAAGATCCCACATGCCGCTGCAGACAACTAAGCCCGTGTGCTGCAACTACTGAGCTCGCACTCTGGAGCCCACGCACCACGACAAAGACCCAGTGCAGCCAAAATAAAAACTAAAAAAAAGGAAAAAAAACACCATAGCTAGTTCTAGAATGACAGAAAATTTGGATACAAAGCCATTTCCTATCTCCTTAACACAGCCCTGAGTCTGGATCATCATCAGTGTTTAACAGAGATTTGTTGAAAGACGTGAATGAACCCCTCTCCTGCACCCTGTCTTGAGTGTCTTAGGGCTCCGTCCACTAGAACTAAGAATCAGGTTAGAATCATCAAAAAGGGAACCCCCAAAAATTCATATTGAGGGATCTTCCCTGAGACCTTCAGAGACTGCTTCTAGCCTGTGTCCAGAACGAACCCTTTTCTGCAGTTTCTAACCCCCTACCCCACCCACCATGAACCCCTCTGTCTCCCACCTACAACCCCCTAAACCCATGGAATTTCGTGTTAAGAGCTCGTGATCTCCCCTTCACCTAACGGAAACCTGCCACGACTGGCTGCCGAGTGACATTCCGGGACGCTGCGCTCCAGGGGGCGGGGGCGTACCCACATCAGGGGTGTTTGTGCAGCGAGCATCTGTCCCAGGTGGAGGCAGACAGAGGACTCTCGGGGATGAGGGCAGTTTCTCCACCCGAAAGATTACAAGTCACACAGCCAGGGCCACTGAAGGCAGCGCGCGAAACGGCGTTCCGAGAGCAGCCGGCGCATTGCCCACTCGCAGCCAGAGCCAAGTGTGAGCCGCGGTGGGGACGAGCCCCCGTGTCAGGGGATAAACGCTTACAGAGTCCTCGTGTCGCTTGGCTGAACGCAGATATAGAATAAGTCAGATGCCACCCACACAAATGAGTGGGCGGACGGCCAGGTACGCAATCGCGGAATAAGAGAGAGAGGGCAAAGTACTGGCGAGAGGAGGTGGGAGGAAAGGTCACCTGCGGGCTGGGGGAGGGGCGAGCGGAGATGGGGCGAGGGAATGATTCAAGAGGAAGCGGCATCTGCACTGGATCTGGAAGATATTCTATCCACAAGCGGAGGAACAGCCGGGGGAGCAGAGACAGGGAGACAGTGTGCGGGCAGAACATCAAGGAATCAGGCTGGCAGGAGCACTGGCTGAAGTGGGAGGGACCTAAGGAGGGGGGTTGACCCCGCCCGGGCACAGAGGGGACGTGCGAACGTTCCCGGTTCACAAGCACAGGAGTGGCGGGGTCAGGGCTGTGCTTGAGAGTCAAGCACGAATCCCCCTAACACCCTAGACTGGACGGGCGAGTAGGTAAGAAATGCACGGAGGGGCCTGGGCGGAGACAGGGCTGACCCCTCTGTTGATGCAGAGCCAGCAAAAAGCCTTCTAGTCACTCGTCTCTGAACTTCTTACTGAGACAGGCTCTCCCCTGCTACCGAGCGCCTCCTCGTCCGGGTCTGTTCTGGGTCTCAGTACACCGTGCCATCCTGGGCACTGAGGTTCTGAGGCCAGGTAGGAAAACGTCTCTAATGAGCGGGTCGAGCGAGAGGCACCCACTCCAGCAGAGCTTAGAATTTCACGGCTGCAATACTCATATGCGGCCACTAGATGGAAGCCAAGAGCAACAGCTTCCGCGGCCTGGCCAATAGGCTGGGCCCGCGGGGAATGGTCTCTAGGCGGACCCAGGAGGTCGCAAGTCCGTCGCTCCTGCTGGGACAGGAGACTAGGTACCTCATGAACCCCTAACCCTCACCATCACCCTGTCGGGGGCTGACCGTCCACCAGAGAAGGAGAGAGAGAGAGAGAGAGAGAGAGAGAGTCGCTCTTGCTGATTGGAAGGGCTAACAGGTGTAGGGGAGACAAAAGTTTACTGTACCTTTGCTGTCTTAGGGTTTGGGGCTGGGCCTGAGAATTAAATTGACAGACAGAGTAACAGGAGAAAAGCATGTAAATTTATTTACTAGAAGTTTTATGTGACACAGGACCCTTTATAAGGAAATGAAGACTCAAAGTGGCAAAACCTGAATTTTTTTATAGTAGGTTAAAAAAAGAGGGGCAAATGTGGAAAAGTTAACTAAACTGTGGGGAGGCTAAAGGAGGATAAGAATTATTTTGAAAAGGTCTGTTTGTACAGAATTCTCTTGGCTTCAACTTCTTGTCCTTGAAGATAAGAATGATGCTTTCCTCCTGGTATTAGGACATCTCCCATTTGGGTTTTTTTCTCCTGATTTTCGGAAGAAAAGGAGGAGGGTCAGAGCACCCTTCTTGCACCTGCTGTGTTTTCCAAGTGTCTTAGCTCAAAATGATGCTGAGGCCAAAGTGGCAGATTTGGGGGAGGCATATTCTGCCACCCTTCATAGGGACCTGGGATCCCTGTTCCGTTGGGGCACCTGGCAGCTACCTCACCTCAGATCCTTGCCTGCCACACAGACCTCCTCAGATCTGAATCCAGCCCCCAGAGTCAGCTGTGAGCTTGAGGCCTGCATGTGTGCACTGCTCCTTTCTAGAGAGAAACTGTGCTGTACCTTGTAGGAGTGGAATGCACTATCTCTTATCTCTTTCTACTCCTCCAAATCAGGGACCTGTCAGGAAGCTGTGGTAGCCCCGCAGCAAACTAGAGGTCCAGGCCCCAGGGCACAGGTGCAAAGGTCCTGCCACCTGACTCCTGTCCTTCTCACCATCACAGGTCAAAAGGCAGAACTTCGAACATCCACATTCCAAATGGCCTTTCTGTCCTGCCCAGGAGCCCTCGCAGGGCAAGGGAGAGTCTCTGTGTGACTGGAGCACGATGCCTTAGTGAACAGCCAGAGAGACAGAGAAGAACCAGAGGCTCAGAGACAGAAAGACAGGGAGAGGGAGACAAACAGCAAGACAGCAGAAGCCAGAGACACATAGAGAGGTCAGGGGACAACAGACACCAAAAAGGAAACAGAAGAGCAGAGTCGGAGCTACCAAAGAAGAAAAACAGAAAATGCAGACAGAAATGAGGCCTAAACTCTTCCCCACTTAAACACCTGTGGAGCAGCTTCTTTACTAGGCAGGGCTTTCACCTGCCTTTTCCAGGCCTTGACTCAGGACTCCTCTGGATGCCTGTGAAAGAGGAAAGCGAACCATGATAATTGGATACTTGAGGTCAGGAGGTGACTTAGAGCTCACGGACAGGCAGAGCCGACGTGGGGCTGATCGGGGAACTGCAGCGGGAGCCCCTGGAGCCTCTTTGCCTGCTTGCAGGGTTGGCTGTGACCAATTCTTTGAGAAGAATAAAGTGCCCCCCACTCCCTCCATTCCTGCCCCCAGCCCCAGCTACTCTCCTTGCCTGGCTTTCTTGTTCCAGTCTTAATGAGTCAGGGGAAAGAGGAGAGCGTTGTTTATGTTGCTTTTGGCAGACCTGTGACAAAAAGCCCTGGGTGACAGCACTGTGCAGTGGAGGTGTGGCTGGGAACACATATAGGAGGCGACTTCTGGTTTTCTCACCACTGAGAACTCTATTATTTTTCTCTCATTGACTCTCAGTTTTTGAAAATTCATGACCACCAGGGAAACATCCTCATATACTCCCCATCCCTTCTCCTGTTGATGAAACACATACAACAAGCACAACGTTTAAAGGGAAGTACTGATGAATACCACTGATCTGAAATAATGATCTAAGTGTAAATAATGATATAAATAATGAAATAAAAACCAAGTTTAACAAGTCTGGATAGGAAGTACATGGCTGTCGACCATTTCGTGTATGTTTGAAATTTTTCCTAGTGAACAGTAAGAATTTTTTTTTTTTTTTTTTTTTTTTGCGGTACGCGGGCCTCTCACTGTTGCGGCCTCTCCCGTTGCGGAGCACAGGCTCCGGACGCGCAGGCTCAGCAGCCATGACTCACGGGCCCCACCGCCCCACGGCATGTGGGATCCTCCCGGACCGGGGCACGAACCTGCGTCCCCTAGCATCGGCAGGCGGACTCTCAACCACTGCGCCACGAGGAAAGCCCAGTAAGAGTATTTTTAAAACTATGTTCAGCTTTGTTCTTTAATTGAGATGCTTGGTATTGTCAGAGAGCAGGAAAATGTGTAATTATGATATGTTTTTTTTGTTTGTTTGAATAATGAAAATAGTTCTCTGACCACTACTTTTTGGATCCTAAGGGATACAGGAATCATTATGTCCTGATATGGACCCTAAGAGTCCACTCTCTTCCTGAGAAAAGGTAGTCTTGCTTTGACCCTTTATCCAAAGAACTTTCTGGCTGATGGAAACTAAATGTATGTGCTACTGGACCTTTCTGGGCCAGTTTCCTCACTGTGTTCAATGAAAGAGTTGAAGTAGGTGACTGATGAGGTGCCTCCCAGTTAAGGCAGGAGAGGGAAGGAGGAAAGGAACAGAGGCCTTGGGCAAGATCAGAGGCACATTTGTTGGTGCCCCTCGACTCATGCTTGTGGTGGCTATTTTTAAAATTGCCATCTGGTGCTTACATTTTTCAGTTTTTGTTATGCGGACAGGTGTGTGTGTGAGAGAGACAGAGGAGAGGAAGAGAGAGGGAGAGGGAGAAACAAGTCTGTTTCTTTCCCAAAGATTCAAGGAGGCCAAGGACTTGGGCCGCGGGCCGGAGCTTAGGCACCTGAGCAGACACTGAGCTCAGATATGGAGGTGTTTCCAGGTGTGAAGTGTGAAGAGCAGGCTTCGGCTTCTGGGGCCCAGCTGAGCTCTGCGTCATGCCTTGGCCTGGCTCTCCTGTCACACTGCCATCTGCTCTCCTGGGGACAGCTGCTCGGGAAAAGAGAACCCCATGAACATTTCCAAGCCTCCTTTCTTGGTGGCTCTGACTGTACAGATGATACAGCTGGGGGGCCTGTGCTCAGAACCACCGGCCAGTTCACTCTCCATTCCTGCTAGTGTGCTGAGCGGGCCTGAGGGAAACCGGGAGTGAGAAGGATGTGCTGTGGAAGGAAAAGGCCTTGGTTTCAGGGCTGAGGAAGGAAGCTGAGGCCCAGGGAGAACACAGAATCCCAAACTGTCTGCGTCGGCTGCTTTGTAGACCAGCCAGGCAGGATTGCCCATCACGGCTGCCTAACAAACACATTGCACAGACAGCCCCAGGGCCCTTGCCCGCCTCTCCAAGTGAGGAGGGATGCAGTGGCTCTTCTTAGGGATGAGGCTTTGGCTGACAGCGAGTCTCAGGTGGAGTCACTGCCCCTTTCCTGGCAGAGGTGACTGAAGCCACACATCAAAGACTTTTTCTTCTCTACATAGACAGTGTGGGCAGGATTAGAGTTGGCCTCTGGCCTATTGGCTGCAGAAACCAGCAGCACCAGGGGTATGGGAGGCCCAGGGCATTTCTGTGACTGACCACAGCCAAGTCTCTCAGCGCCAGGTCTGGAGCCGAGCAATTTGCTTCCAGCCTCTGCATTTCCTAAGAATTTGGTACAGATGAATTTGTTGCACACAAATGTCCTGTAATGTTTCCCTGAGCACAGTACTGTTACAATAGTGATCTTCACACATGTGTGTCTTATAGGGATTTATGGACATACATGTATGCTGGTCATGTCTCTGCTTATACCTGATAGCTTAAAACGCTTACACTGATTCATTCATTCAGCCAACATGTGTTGAATTCCTACTGTGTGCCGATTCCGAGACGGGTTCTAGATTCCTGTCCTATTTCGGGTCAGTGGCGTTCATCAGTACTTCCCTTGGAAACTTGTACTTGTCGTTATACATGTTTGATCAACATAAACAGGAGATGGACTTAGGAGTATGCAGGGTAGTTCCCGTGGTGACCACGAGCTTTCAAAACTTGAGTCAAGCGGAAAGAAATAATAAAAAGAGTTCTCGGTGGTGAGAAAATTGGAAGTCAGCCTCTTATACATCCAAAGATACTTTTTGGGTTTTTTTTAACATCTTTATTGGAGTATAATTGCTTTACAATGGTGTGGTAGTTTCTGCTGTACAACGTTCTTGCTCTTAAAGAACTGTCAGCCTGGTGGAGGAAACAAACACATTAAAAAAAAAAGAATAACAGTACAAATTGCAACAAGAGTTATACCAAATTTGTGATGGAACCCGAGAGGCAGGCACCCAGGTAAGAGGGTCAGGAGAAAGCTTTTCTGAGAAAGAAACATCTAAGCTATATCATAAAGGGTGAGGAGTTAACAAGGCCAGATAGGGCAATATATATGGCATTTTTTCCCTCAGATTCCAAAGGATGACAGTCATCATGGTGGGAGACTCTGTTTTTTTTTTCTTTTCTTTTTTTTTTTTGTGGTACACGGGCCTCTCACTGTTGTGGCCTCTCCCGCTGCGGAGCACAGGCTCTGGATGCGCAGGCTCAGCGGCCATGGCTCACGGGCCCAGCCGCTCCGCGGCATGTGGGACCTTCCCGGACCGGGGCACGAACCTGCGTCCCCTGCATCGGCAGGCGGACTCTCAACCACTGCGCCACCAGGGAAGCCCGTGGTGGGGGACTCTGGAGTCACAGTTTCAGCTGTCATTCACCTAGCAAGCTCCTGCCGTGCTCCATGCGTGTTTGTTGCTTGGTTTTCCATGAACCCCATGATTCCAGTCCCTGTGGGGTCTGGTGTATTCTTATGCAGAAACCAGAAGTCCGGAAAAGGTGGCAGAACCAACTGCAGGAAAGACAAGCATCCGCTTCTAAGTCGACTAAAACCAAACCCGCCTGAGAACCTTCCCAGCATCCAGGCCTTGCTCATCCTTTCAGACCAAGCAAAGATGCCGGTTCCAGAAGCCCTTCCTAATTCCTCACGTGGGATGCAGTCGCTCTCTTTGCTGAAGGCGCAGAAGCATCCTTGCTTCTTCAGTGATACCTGGCGCATCCAGCCTTGAATCGCAGTTTCAGACCAGTGTCTTAGTCTCAGAACTGAAAGATATGAGGGACAGAGGAAAAAGCCTGGGCCCCAGGAGATCCCACCCCCAGGGTACAGGGAAGATAAGGTAGGAGGTTGAATCGGCCCAGAAGAGTAAAGGAGTCATCCCCGGGGGGTGGGAATGGGGGCTTGATGGGCTTGATGGTGGGCGGGGTGGGGGTGGGGGTCCTCTCCAGCCTCCCTCCTCTCTCTTCCCTCCTCCCTCCTCCCACAGACAACTGGCCGTTCCAGGCTGTCCTCACTTACCTGAAGCGGGTTGGCCAGGTCTTTCTTCCATGTTGTTGCACAGTGTTCCTAGGTTGGAATGCCACCCCCCTCCTTGCTCACCACCTCCAACACCTACCTGAGCACCGCCTGTTCTTTCAACCTTCCTCAGACCCTTTCCTTGATGCCCCACTCCCACCGGATGAGCTCAGCGCCTCCCTTCCGCTACCCTGTGGCTTCAGTATATTTCTGCCCTTCAATACCAGCGCACCTCTTGGTACCCAAGCTGCTGGGTGGTGAGCAGCTTGCAGTCAGAAGCTGTGTCTTCTTTATCTTGGTGTCCCCAGTACGTAGCGAATGGACAAATACATAAGTCTGCATTCTCCCCTGGTCTTCCTTTGGGCCAGAAACCTTCTTATTCGTCTTTGTGACTCCATCACAGTGCCCTCTACGTGGTGGCCTCACAATGAAGGTTTGTTGCTGAATGATAAATCTAGCCGTTCCCACTCATGCTTTCCCGTGCCAGCCCACGGTGTGGGGATACTGAGTTGATTCTTTGAAAATGGCCTGTAAATATGAAATGTATTTTAAATATTTGTCAAAAGAATCCAACGTGGTACATCGTTTACAAGCCTCCATCCCCAATAATGCCGCACCCAAGCGCCGTGTGTCTCTCACGAGACAATCCAGCAAAGGTCACCTTAGGAGCGCAGCCCAGGCACTCACTCCCCACGCTGCCCAGGTATATTCCTCCTTTCCTGTTGCACACACCCCACAGGGCAGCCCAGGAGCAGATCAGGGCACAGGCGTGCACACCTGCAGTGCTAGGTCACCAACTCGACCTCATGAAAGAAGAGCCTTCAGTTCCTAGTGACTGTCTGCTTGTCCCTGTGGGCCCTCCTCTCCCCTGAATTCTATGCTTCCTGAGAACCTGTCTCACAACTCTGGTGTCAGTGTGGATGGGGAAGGGTAAGAGAATCCCCAGACGGAATGTTAACCTCAAGCTGCCATTTGCTCCCTAACCAAGCTGTCATCAGTCATGCGAATGAGAAGCCTGTGTTTCAGGTGGAAATGCCCCGAAGCCCACTCTTCCACCCTTTGGCAGAAGTGGAGTCAGAAAGGAAGCAGGGGTTCCAGTGAGCAGAAGGGGTGCCCCACTCTCCCTGCACTGGTGGTTTCTTGGCCTCCCTCCTCTAGGGGAGGGAGCGGGCTCAGGACCCACACACCAGCTCCAGTTCTGCCCAGGGCTTGATGGGCGGCTCCGGGGAGGTGCAGAAGGCCCACATGGTGCTGGGCAGTGCAGGCTTGAGAGCTGATGTCAGGCCAAAGTGAAGACTGAGAAAAGAGGGTAGGATTTCAGAGGGACCAGAGAAGGGAGGTTTGCAGAAGTCTCCTATTCATTTTTCTCAGGCTGTCAGAGGTCTTCAGCTAGTCCAGATGGTGGAACTTTTGTATGAAATATAGGAAGTGTGTCACCCACGAGAGAGTGCAGCCCCTCAGACTGCGTGCTCGGGTTGGAAAGAGGGACCTAGCTGGATTTCAGCCCCCAGCCCCATCCCCGCTGCCAGCTGTCTTATTCCTGTTCCACTGTACGCAGGGGCCCAAGGTCACCGTTTAGTCTGTGACTCAACCCCTCCTGCCTAAACCCTCTCTGTATTTGCCAGCCACAGACAAGGCTGGGTTTCATATCCACCGGGATGGGGCTGAGACCGAAGTGTCCATCTCTGTTTCATGGAAGAAATAACGGTTACTTCTCTCACCCCTCCACCCCTTACCCACTTCTTTGCTGCCCCAGATTCCGCACCATTTCCTCACCTCTCTCTGTCTCTCTCTCTCCACACAGGCCGGGAGGAACCGGAGATACCTCAGGCTGATCAGAAACAAGCAGCTGTGCTCCACATGTCGAGAAATGAAAACGGTAGTCGCGGAGGATGGCAGACATGGGCGTGAGCATCCCCAGGGCACAGCGTTACCCCTTCCCCACAAAAGCCCAGCAGAGAGACCATGACGGGGCCTTTCAGGAAGGGCTGCAGATGAGCAGCTGCTGGTCCTGGGAACACCGTCTCCTGACACGATATGGTAAATCTCCCCATTTGCAACAAACCAAATGATAAATGAACTAAGGCAGCTCGGGCCAGAGGGGAAGAGACGAGATGAGCCACACTGCTTTGGGCTCGTTGGTAACTGCACCTTACAGAGGTGCCGGAGGCTATGAAGCCTCTTCTCCCCCTTACCATGTCTCCAACACAACACTCCAGCATCACAACCATGAAACAAGCAGCTTCATCTTGGGGTTTGCCGTAAATTCAGCCACGACCGCAGTGGCGGTGGAGCTGGGGAGAGATTCTCTGGTTCTTCCTGGCTATAGGGGTCGTTTGTAACTGGTGGGGGGGGATGGTGGGTGGGGGGAGTTTTAGGAAAAGATAGGCTATCAGAGGGATGTGGGCGCCACAAGGACGTAGCTCTGCCATCAGAGCTGCTGAAGAAAGAGGCGTGTTTTGGGGGGTGCTGTACATGTTGGAGCTAGGACTTGGGTCAGTTTAGGGGGTAGGGTTAGGGGCCTTCAGAGCGAGCACCAGGCTGGGTGGAAGGTTAACTTAGCTAAACGGTTAGGTTAGGGTTTGGGAAGAGTCTCTCCAATTCTAATAGCCTGTGATTCTCCTTTGACTCGGGGAGGAAGGTGGGGCTAGATGTACAGAAAGAGGAAGGACAAGGAGTAGAAGACAAACAGGAGACACGAGAGAGGCTCCTATGATGAGTTCATGGCAAAACTGCTTCCAGCCAGCAAGTACTTCTCTGGGTTGTCATGTGGGATTTGGAAATTTAACTGAAGCTACCAGCAAAGGTGTACCTGGATGTTCCGATCTCTGTTCATGTTCTGCATAATTAGGATCACAGTGTTCAATATTAGCATTGACTGGGATCTGAGAAGCTGGGATTGGGATTTCTCCTGGTCTCATTCCTGGAATCACTGTGTCCACATATGAATGCCCTGACCCCAGGCCTAAACGGGCCCTGGCCAGCTGGGTCACTTGGGACCTTGACAACTGTTCTCTTTCTCAAGACCTCTTTTCTGACCTTTGCTCTTGCCCAAACCTGCCCCAAGTGGAAGCACACACCGTGGTTTTACCATTCCTGCAGATGCCCAAAGGAAGGGCCTCAGACACAGAAGTGCCCAAGGGCCCTTCCCTACCATTGTCGGAAACGGGGCTCACAGACCCTGGTGAGAAATGATAGAAAATGAGTGTGAAATACCCTTGTCTCACTATGTGCAGTAACAGCTCCCCTTCCTTCTGGGGCGGGGACTGGGGAGAGGAGGGGCTGTCTGTCTGCTGTTGTCACTGAGACCCCTCCGTTCTCTGCAGGGGGTTGAGCGGAGATACTGGGAAAGTATAAAAAGACTCCTAAAAATAGAAGGGACTTCCTCAACTTGATATAGGGTGTCTACAATAAACCCACAGCTAACAACGGACTTAGTGAGGAAAGACTGGGTATTTTCCCCTAAGACCAGGGACAAGACCAGGATGTGTGCTCTTGCCACTGCTGTTCACCATTGTACTGTACGTTCTAGTCAGGACAGTTAAGGCAAGAAAAAGAAATTAAAGGTATCCTGATTAGAAAGGAAAACATAAAACTCTATTTGCAGATGATGTGATTTTATATATAGAAAGTCCTAAGGGACCCATAAAAAATCTACTAGAGCTAATAAATGAGTACAGCAGAGTCACAAGACACAAGATCAACATACAGAAAATAATTTTATTCCTAGATATTCGCAGTGGACAATCCAAAACTGAAATTAAGAAAACAATTCCATTTATAAAAGCATCAAAAAAGTGAAATACTTAGGAATAAATTTAACAAGAAAAAGGAGAAAGCAGAAAATGATTTATTAATGACTCATATTAAATACAACTTGAGTTTGCTAAGGCAGTACGTTATTTCTTTAAATTAGGATGCATTTTGGGGCATTGTTCTACATGGGACTTTCTTCCATTGGTGCAACCAAGAACTATGATGATCCCAGATGATCTGAAACTATCCTTTAGCAACTATCCATAGCAAATACTATGAGTCATAGGTAAATCAAAGATTTAAATTAGGACACAGCTTTGTATCTGGTTATATCGGTTGTGGATTGAGAAATACAGTAAGTAAAATGCTTAGGGAATGCTTTAGGGATGAGCTTCTTGAGTGGTTTCATTTTCTGGTTATAGTACATAGTTAGACAAAAAAAGTTGTTTTTAACCTCTTTTCCTGAAAAGCTATGGAAACTACTGTAGAAACTAGAATCTTCCTTCCTACCTTCATAAGAATAGTACAAAGCATAGGATAGGAGATATCTTCGATAACTTAGGCAGAACTAAATACAAATTCTCCATGTGGATGACATATCTAATTCATAAAATATGGGAGATTGCACATAAATTTTCTTGAGTCTAAGACAGCCTCTGCTATTTTATATTGACTAAAATTACTGTTATCAGTTTGTCATTTGCTGCTTTCTTATCAAGATCAAGTATATCAAAAATAAAATCCAGTCAAAGCTGGATTAGTTGGATTTCAGGGTTTTTTCTGCATTTAACTACCAGACCGGGAAGAAGGACTAAGTTTTCACTTTATTAAAAAACTCAAAACGTGGAGTCACCCCAGATAAGGCACCAAGATAGGTGGACTTGCCTTGCGGTAGATGGTTGAAATGTAAACATACAGTCACCCTTCCATATGACTAAACAAAAAAGTTATATGTGATCTAATGGCAATCTTTAATTTGTTTCCTCTACAGAGAGCAGTAACGTGGGAAAATAAATAGGTCTTTTTGTAACCCTAGATGACAGCAGGAGTTGTTATATTTCCCTGTATGAGCTCAGAGCCATTTGTACAAACTAAAATATAGACTCAGATGCACCAAAAACACGTCCTGGCCCAAGCAGACAGGGCCATGGAAGAAATGTGTATTTGAGCAGTGCAGACTCCAGCATTAGTGACATTTACCGCCCCCGACTCTATACTTTTTAAGTGCTCTTATATTGGATCACAATAAAAGTCATTCTAAAAAATATTCCTTACAGACTTTAAATGGAAAACTGGAATTTCTGAGCCAAAGGTACTCTTCTATGAAGGAGACTTTTGAAATTGTTTGTTCCAATTTATTTATCTTGCAAGTTTGGTACTTTAAAGAAAGTCTCAAATCCTGAGTCATTAATTGTGTGTGTTTTTTTAAAACAAGCTCTTATTCCTTTAAAGCCAAGACCGAAGGTTGAACCAATCCTAAAATCATGTCAATTCCAGAAAGAAGTGTCATTAGATTGGTCTTTTTTTTTTTTTTTTTCCAGTGTAGTGAAGGATGACATCCTACTTCTGTTTGAGATTTAGCTAGTGCTACTCTGAAGTCAGGTCCTCGTTCTGTTTGTAGCTTATAAAATCTGTCCTCACAGTTTTTAAATCTCACTACATATATAAGCAGATTGGAATTGTCCTTACTGAAATAATTTTTAAAGTGACTTTAATTATAGCCATTGTAGGAATTAAATGATGTTGTTGACTGGAAGGAATGAAGGAAAAAAGGGAGGGAGGGCGGAAAAGAGAGAGGAAATAAGTGTGAGCAGATAGATATATATTTGTTGAATTATAGTGTAGACAAATCTTAAAGTATTCAATCTTACAAATACCACCATCTTGTTTGCCCAAAATGGGTAATAGAAGGGATTTTTCTTTTTCTTAGTCCCAGTGAGTCCTCCAATGGCAATTTCATAAAATTAACTGACTGGACTGACCATATTTTTGGTAGCAAAGTAAAAATAATCCTGGAAAATCTCTGTGGAAGTAGATACCAGGAAATGAATGTAGAGACGTAGATTGCCCATACAAGTTTACAGATTGTTCAGTCTTTAGAAATAAAACAATTTAAAATAATGTAGAAATGGTTTGAGCTTATATACCTTTTGGTTGAAGGTCACTTCCACAGTCTCAGCCACCAGGAGAAATAGGGAGTGATCAAGACATTTTTCTCGAGAATTGGAAGGTTCTAAACAAAATATTCTCAGTTTTGCACTGATCTGGAAGTGTTGTTACTTTTTTTTCTGAGAACTGGAGGATTCTATCCTTAATCCCTTCTATTTTCAGACCATGTATTATCTGACAGTGGAATAAAACATTTTTTAAATGAAGGTTTTATTAAAATCCATGAAAATACTACTAAAGTAAAAAGAGCTTCAGAAGTGGTGGTCTTTGGCCAGTCATCTCACACTGCTCCCAAGTGGTCTGAGCACCAGGTTAACAGGTGCTGGGGTCGAGAGACCACCTGTGTTTTAAAATGTACAATGACACATTCCTTTCCACCAAGCTCTAGCCAAATCACTAATGTGTATTCTTGCTTCTTCCAGTCAGAATGATGAGTCTTCATCCACCAAAGGCCCAGGCTGTACCCAAACGTCCTCGTGATGACATCCCAACAGGTTTGCTTTCTTTTGGAGTACTTGTTGTGGGAGACATACCACCCCCAGAGTAACACCTGAGATAATTTCTAAATTTTCTGAACAAATTCCCATTCTCCATCCCTTCTCTTTCACGTACTGCTTATTGACCTGTTTCACCTGGTCCACAGCCCTCCCTTCACTCCAGCCCTACCTGTCCCCTCTTCAGGCCTCACCTGCATTTATCCATGGCGTGTTCCTTCCCAGGTCCTCTCCACGCCACAGGACTCTGCCCCATTCTTTCTAAAGAGCCCCATAATCCACTTGCGGAAGAATGTCCGTAGGGATGGGGCACAAAGTAGATAATTCCCTTCTCAGGCAGTCTTGATAGTACCAATTAAGGTGGGAAGGGAAATGAGTCCCCACACCCATGGCATGGGCTCGCCAAGCCCCAAGCCTTCCCTTCCACAGGCTCCCTAGAACACCTGCCTTCCCCTGGCAGCTGCCCAGTGCTATTCTTATGTTCATGTGCTGGTATGGAAAAAGAGGACAGCACGACTCTATCTCCAGCTTCAGCATTGACCTAAGTCTTATCTTTTAGAGAAGCCAACACTGGGCCAGCAAAGAGGAGGTGGGTCATTCTTTGGAGTGATGTGATTCAAGGGTTTAATGCAGTATAGGCTGTCACTTTAGTAACTTTGTCCATCTTCTCATTTGCTCCCAGATTAACTGAAGCCATTTTCAGTTTTTCTCTTATTTGATACACACAGTAAGGAAAATCAAGTTCACTTTGTAGTGATGGGAAAGTCTAATCTCTATCCTGGGAGGTTGCAGAGAAGCTAGAGCCAGAACTGAACTGAGAGGACATCAAGAAAGGAAATTTGAGGGTAGAAGGGATATCTTGAAGGGATGTCAAAAGGGAGGACCAGAGACTCAGGTGACAGCTGAGGTTAGGAGATAACCACTCCAGCGGAGTGAAAGACTGCTATAGTCCCAATCCCTTCTTATGTATCCAAAAATATTGGCCTCACTCATGACTTTCATTAGCCAAAGTGGACTGAATTTCCAAGAGCTAAGGGCATCCTCCCAATGAAAGCTGCCCCCATCTGCCTGTAACCACTTCATTCTCCTGAAGCCTAGGGAACACTGGGTGACAGGCATGTGCAGTTGGTTTCAGGGTTCTCCGTACCAGCCATACATTCATTTTGAGTTTCCCTTAAACCTGAATTTTTTCAGGTCTGCCTCACAAAGGATAAAACACACATACATGTGTACACACACTCACACACAATTACATGCCCTTCCCTCAGCAGGAATGTTTATTTTCTGATTCTACATGACAGTGTGATAAGATGCCTTTCATCAATTTATTAATCCTGGGAGTGTATTTCAATTACCAGTATAAGAACTAGACTCAGCGCACATAGATCAGCACATTATGTTCTAGACAGACCTCATTCTTGCCCATAGAGTTCATCCAAGTGCAGCAGTGTTGGAGGTGAGACTTCAGAGAGAGTGCTTATGGAGCTGAAGCTTGGTAGATCTGCAGTTGATTCCAGTCGCAACCCTTCTGAGCTGAGCTTTGCTCGTGTGTGCTCTCTGAGGTCAAAGAAAAGTCCTAGGAGCAAAGAGACCTGCATTCAGATCCTAGTCTTGCTAGACAGGTTTGGCCATATTGTTGAAACTCTCTGGGTCTCTGTGTTCCCACTTTTAAAACCAGAGAAGCATTTTGCCCACCACCACCCCCAAGGGCCAGACACTCAGTAAAAGCAGCCTTCACCTTTTTTTTTTTCCTGCAGTACGCGGGCCTCTCACTGCTGTGGCCTCTCCCGTCGCGGGGCACAGGCTCCGGACGCGCAGGCTCAGCGGCCATGGCTCACGGGCCCAGCCGCTCCGCGGCATGTGGGATCCTCCCAGACCGGGGCACGAGCCCCTGTCCCCTGCATCGGCAGGCAGACTCTCAACCACTGCGCCACCAGGGAAGCCCAGCCTTCACCTTTGACTGACCCAGAAAACTTGCTGACACTGCCCCAGCTCCACTGGTTAATACAGTTTAGACACGTCCCTGTGCTGCATAGCCTGTGGACATGCTGCAAATACCAAATGGCTGACTCATCCCAGCGACCATCACTGCCAGTGACTGTCTAACTCATTCTGTTGATCATGACAGTAATCTCTAGTATTTTTCTGGATTCAGCTAAACTTGATATGTCCTCAATAATTATTAGTGAGAACTAAGTAAATGGAAAGAGCCTATATCTCTATTAAGTGATGGGGTTTCTTCTGGATTTGTTTATCTTGACTTTGGCCTTGAGTCCAGAGTTCCATGACACTCACAGGCTCTTGTCCATAAACACTGGTAGAGCTGCTAACCACCTGACTTAGGTCTACCACCTGGCCCAGTGCTGAGATATGGCACAGAGGGTTAGGATTAAGGAGATCTGGGTTCTGGTCCTCAGTCCATCACGACCCTGGACCTGTTTCCTCTTCATTACAACAATGACACTGGACTGGGTCCTAGGTTTGCGATCTTGTGACACCTCTTAGCTCTCATTCAGCTGGACTAAAGAGCTTCTTCCAGAGAATTCAGGACTCCAGTTCCCTTAGTCATTCGGTGATTTCCAATGGGAAGATGCTATTTTATGCACTGATTTACTCTCCTTCACAGTGAGTATTTTCGAAGAGTTGAATATTAACCAACTTCCTATATATAAACTCATACTCAAAGAAGAGGTCAGGATGGTAAGGATTTTAAGGAGCCCTAAAATAAATTATTTCACAAAATGAAGGTTCCTTTTGAAATACAAGTACTTTTCCACTACTGTAGCCTTTCATAAGATCACGTTTGTTTGAAGAGCAGAACCACATACGTGTCCCTGAAAAGTCTTCTGAGAATTGAATCCTCTGTTCCCTTTGACCCGTGTTACAACTCCAGACACACCTTATCTTCATTTATAATTTTTTTTTAAACTTCAGATATTCTTTGGCAAAGACTAGTCCTTTGTTTTATTAATTAATTTATTTATTTTTGCTGTGTTGGGTCTTCGTTTCTGTGCGAGGGCTTTCTCCAGTTGCGGCGAGCGGGGGCCACTCTTCATCGCGGTGCGCGGGCCTCTCACTATCGCAGCCTCTCTTGTTGCAGAGCACAGGCTCCAGACGCGCAGGCTCAGTAGTTGTGGCTCACGGGCCTAGTTGCTCCGCGGCATGTGGGATCCTCCCAGACCAGGGCTCGAACCCGTGTCCCCTGCATTAGCAGGCAGATTCTCAACCACTGCGCCACCAGGGAAGCCCCCTTCATTTATAATTTAATTGGCAATGTCTCCAAATATTTGAGTTATGTTTCTAAGCACTCCTTTCTGGTCTCTTTGTCAAGATTTGTAAAAGCTTAAGTTGGTGGGGGCTAAGGTGGTTCTAGTAAAATGGATTCTCATGTGAACTTTGAAGCTGTTTTATAAGGTTAAAGAAGTCTTTGGTGACATCGGTTATTTTGAGTAGATCTTAAAAATAGACTCTAAGGAGCCCTTGTCCTTCCTTCTTACACTGTCCTCCAGAGGGCGCTCGCTACAGACTGCCCATTCTGGGCCCCAGAACAGCTGTCTCCCGTGGACTGCTGTCAGATGCCTACAACACTCTGCACGACATGCACCTCTCTTCCTTGCCTGGAAAGGAACCAGTGGGCAAGACAATGAGGCAGTGAGTGGTCGGAGCTCATCCCCTTCCAGACTCTCAGAGAGCATCCTCACCAAGCCAGTTTCTGACACTAGTGCCTTCTCATCACTTCCTCTTAGCATGAAAAAGATGACTCAGGGGCTTCCCTGCTGGCGCAGTGCTTGAGAGTCCCCCTGCCGATGCAGGGGTCACAGGTTCGTTCCCCGGTCCGGGAGGATCCCACATGCTGCGGAGCAGCTGGGCCCGTGAGCCACGGCCGCTGAGCCTGCGCATCCGGAGCCTGTGCTCCACAACGGGAGAGGCCACAACAGAGAGATGCCCGCGTACCGCCAAAAAAAAAAAGATGACTCAGTTTTGCCTTCCTAACTGTTGCTAGAATTCTAGCTCTTGCCATTGTCTTATCACTCATTTCTCCTAAAAACTAAATGGTTTAATGTCCATGATTATAAATATATGTTGATTAAAATGGAACATATTGAGTGTCGTTCATTTTACTTTGCTAAAGATTCTTTATAATAGACAAAATCTTTCTGTTTCTAAGACATGAAATTTCTGTGAAAATTATTTCTTCCTTCAGGGCAGGGGGGCCAGAGATGGCCCCAGGAGGTCCCTCATGAATTCAGCCTAATAAGAATAAAAGAGAGAAATGGAGGTCACCCTCTGTCCTTATCTCTGTCAGTTAACTCTGATAGATGACGGAGGATACTGGGATGCAGTAACTGGAAAATGACAGGTGATTAGCTATTGCCACCCTTGAGGACAGGAACAGTGTCTGTCTTGCCTTCCTCATGCCGCCTTCTTTAGTGCCTTGCATATAACAGATGTTCATCTAATCTGTGTTCAGTTGAATCCAAAACAAATGCTTGTATTTGGTAGTTTGGTTACTTTAGTTTGAGGATATATATCTCCAACTCTGTCGTAGTCCATGTGTGTGAGGGATACAAAGGAAGAGTCTAGGCTTGTAACTATTATATTTATGGGCACACATGCTCCATGCCCAGCTTCAGGAGGGCTTGTATAAAACAAAAGGCCAGGACTTCCCTGGTGGCGCAGTGGTTAAGAATCCGCCTGCCAATGCAGGGGACACGGGTTCGAGCCCTGGTCTGGGAAGATTCCACATGCTGCGGAGCAACTAAGCCCGTGTGTCACAACTACTGAGCCCGCGTGCCACAACTACTGAAGCCCGTGCGCCCAGAGCCTGTGCTCCGCAGAAAGAGAAGCTACCGCAATGAGAAGCCCGCGCACCGCAATGAAGAGTAGCCCCCTTCTGCTGCAGATAGAGAAAGACTGCACACAGCAACAAAGACCCAGTGCAGCCAAAAATAAATAAATAAAAATAAATAGATAAATTTATTAAAAAAACAAAAAGGTCCCTTCCATTGCTTAGGAGGCAGTGGCCTTATGGAATCTCAAGCTCCTGACTAAATGAGCAGTGGACCAACATGTGAGAACCAACCTCTGTGCTTACTGTGTTTGAAGAATGGGATTCAGAAATATCTAACAAATGGTCTGGTGACCAAATTGACCTCATTTCTTGTGCACACGTGGGCACAAACAGGCACACACACAAACTCCCAAACCAGAAAAACTTGCTTGATTGCCCTATATTCCTGGTAGGCTATGGATTCTTGGTTTCAGTTCATTTAGAGTTCAAGAATTCCAAAAATAGCACGCACTGCCTTTCAAGGTGAAGGCTGTATGCATGAATTATGATCCCATTTCAGATGATTGTCAAAGGACAGACAAATCACAGATAAAGATGTTTCCTTCTCTTTTTTCTTTTTGCAAATTAGCATATCCAGTAAAAGATTTGGGGCACCTATACCCATACATTAGAGGAGGATACAAGCCCCCAGCACAATTATTTAGAGCTTTTGAGGTAATCTGAATATTATGTACCTAGACAGATAGAATGCTTCCTAAATCTCCTTAAGAAGTCTTCATCTAGAATACTTGGGTGTTTCCAAACTCTCATCAAAAAGAATAACATTATGATGTTTGCTAGTGTTCTAGCATGGTGACTGAGAATGATGGTCTATATCAACAGTCCCCAACCTTTTTGGCACCAGGGACCAGTCTTGGGCAATTTTCCCACGGACTGGGGCAGTGGGGCGGTGGGAGGGATGATTCAGGCGGTAACGCGAGCGATGGGGAGCCGCAGATGACGCTTTGCTCGCTAGCCCGCCTCTCACTGCCTGCTGTGCGGCCCAATGCCTAACAGGACACAGGCCGGTACCAGTCTGAGGCCTGGGGTTGGGGACTCCTGGTCTATATCATGGTTCTTAAACTTTTTGATCTTAGGAACCTTTTGCACTCCTAAATAGTGGGTTATATCCACTGACAATTATATTATAAATTAAAATGGAGAAATTTAAAAACACAAAAATACACAGTACACCTTCCAGTTTCTATCAGAGTGATAACATCGTCACATGTCATGTAGCCTCTGGAAAGCTCCACCATACCCTTGGGAGGCAAGAAAAGTAAGAAAGGCAAATAACATCTCAGTGTTATTATGAAAATAATTTTGACCTCACAGAAATCCCAAAAAGGATTTCAGAGACTCCTGGGGTCTCCAGACCATGCTTTGAGAACATCTAGTATACAGCATATACCCTTGCATCTCCAGCCTTCCAGGGAAAGGGATGCCAGGATGCTTAACTCACCTACCTGAGAAATCTGGTCCCTTGGCAGAGATTAAAGAGAAGGCAGCAGCAGGTTTTCAAAATTTGGTGGTATTGACTTTTTTAAAAATAAATAAATAAATAAATTTGGCTGCATTGGGTCTTTGTTGCTGCACACAGGCCTCTTCTCTAGTTGCGGCGAGCAGGGGCTACTCTTTGTTGCGGTGTGTGGGCTTCTCATTGCGGTGGCTTCTCTTGTCGTGGAGCACAGGCTCTATGTGCGTGGGCTTCAGTAGTTGTGGCTCATGGGCTCTAGAGCGCAGGACATGGGCTTAGTTGCTCCGTAGCATGCTGGATCTTCCCATACCAGGGCTTGAACCCGTGTCCCCTGCATTGGCAGGCAGATTCTTAACCACTGCGCCACCAGGGAAGCCCTTCAGATTTATTTTTTAACATGGATAATCTTGGGTAGACTTGTTTGTTTCAAGGCTAAAGCCAGATTTTGCTGTTTTAAAAATAAATGACACTTGTTATAATAAATGTCTACAGACATGAGTCAGACTTACTCCTACTTTTTATCTTCTTTCACCCCAACAGGGAACTTAAAAAGCAATCAATCAGCACAATTCTTTTTTTTTTTAATTAATTTATTTATTTTTGGCTGTGTTGGGTCTTCATTTCTGTGCGAGGGCTTTCTCTAGTTGCGGCAAGTGGGGGCCACTCTTCATCGCGGTGTGTGGTCCTCTCACTGTCGCCGCCTCTCTTGTTGTGGAGCACAGGTTCCAGACGCGCAGGCTCAGTAGTTGTGGTGCACGGGCCTAGTTGCTCCACGGCATGTGGGATCTCCCCAGACCAGGGCTCAAACCCTTGTCCCCTGCATTGACAGGCAGATTCTAAACCACAGTGCCACCAAGGAAGCCCCTCAGCAGAATTCTTTTACTGCCAGAAATGGAGAGAAATTCTGTATTTAGGAGAATCCATGCAAAAAATCAAGTATGTAACACAAAGCCATTGTCACCTCCAGTCCCCAGTTTAACCTTGGGAAATCCCACAGGCCTTTACTGCCTCTGCCCTCATCAGGGTCACTCATCTTTTCCCTGGCCCCCGACTGTCAAAGCTCATGGGAGGCCTGTCAAGGGTCTGTTGGCTCCTGGGCCCTGTGGTGTTACACATTAGAGCTGCCCATTTACCTGAAAATGTGCAAGAATCATATAACTCCAGGGAGCAGAAGTGTAACAGGGTTGGAAGAATGGCCTTGTCTCCTCCTAAGGAAGCCCTGTCTAGAATGTCCTGTGTGTATGTGGCTACTCCAGTTGGCGGAGGTCTGAAGGATGAGGACGGCCCTGCCCAACAGAATACAGAAAATTTCCGGGAAGAAGAGGAAGCACAGACTTGTTTCTGTTAATAAATCTATAAACTACAGTCTTAAGAATCAAGATTAAAGAAATGAATAAAACTTAACTAATCTCTAGAAAAAACTGAGATGATCAATCATGTTTCAACCATGTCCCCCTCAAGCCCATCTTAATTTCGCACCTTAGTAAGTACTGTCCCCATTTCATACGTGTAATTCTTGCCTCTCTAGAAAAATGTGTCACTTCATGAAGATGAGAACAATATCTCATGCTCCCACCATATCCCCATGGGAGCTACACAGACACATATGCAAGAGATACTTAGAAGGAAGAAAAGTCCATTTCTCAGTTGCTAAGCCATATGAAAAAATAAGAGGTGAGATCCTTGTATTTGGGGATCTGAGGATACAAAGGGTTTAGGTATTAGGACCCTGCCTGTGACTAACTTATCATTGGAGAAACAACACACATATACACAAATGAAGAGCATGTGTACAGGCCAGTATGGGAATAAGCATGAGTTACTCTCCACTATAAACTGAACCCTGGTGATTGCAGCAATAACGTTCTCATAGCACCAACTGTCCAGCCCTCTGGACAGGAACAAAGGTGCAATTGTGTGACCTCCTCAGGAAAGTTGGTCAGAGGAGAAGTAGACATATTCACCCACACACAATGTTATCTCTTGTTCTTTGCAGAGTCTTTGGCAAGAGGTTTAACTGCCTGGCCAGTGGAGTGCAGAATGCTGAAATAAGGCATTGGCGAATGTTTGTAGTTTCGAGGAAAACTTGTTCCGAAACCTCTTGGGATTGGCCTCCCCCGGGTCCTGTGTAACAGTGACCATCCTATGGGATGTCACATGGCCAGAGAGTCAGTGACTTTCAGATCCCTTGCTGAGAATCTGAGAGGAGCAAGGAGGAGGACAGAGAGGAGGACTCTATCCTTGCTTCCCAGATTCTCACATGGAGAAAATTACCTGAAGAGTAAGAGTGTCTAAAAAACAAGAAAGATACTGGGTAACATCAGTTGGCTCTTAGGAGTGGAACTGA